ACAACTGCGCTGTCAGACACGCTTTGACCCTCGTCAAAGCGTGTCTGACAGCGCAGCGCACAAGAAACCTCAACAAGGTTTCTTGTGCTCGCCAGCAGGTGAAATCCAACCCTTGATTTTGGAACAAGACTGCCTGGTATTTTGCTTCGCTATATTTGTATTTGTTTATGCTGTGTCCGCCATCTCTGTAGCTTCCTCTAGGAAAAAGAAAAGAGAAATCAACGGAGAGACAAATGTTTTTGCAGATGCAGACATCATTACATACTTCTTGTGGGTCACAAGCGACGATTGAGAGGGACGTTTTTTTATGAGTCTGTACAGTGTATTGTTAATATGAACTTTTGGAACAGAACTTGATACTTTGACTTAGAAATCAATGTGTTGTTCTTACAGTTTATTAATGGCTTGCTCAATTGAAGTAGACAAACCTGAAATAGCTCTCTGTCATTTAACCTCAAATAAAGTTTACAAGTCCCTCTCGTCGTCAGGTCTTTTCATCTAATTGTCACATTTCTCTCACAGGAAGCAGAGGAAGAGGAGCATCAGTAAACGACCTCCTCCTGCTCCTAAACCACAGCCGCGGCCCCAGGGGCCTCGCTGCCGGGCGATTTACCAGTACATCGGCCAGGACACAGACGAGATCAGCTTCGATGTCAATGACGTGTTCGACCTCGTCAAAGAAGGTAAGTGGATCAAAAGAAAGCAGGATGGACAAAGAAGAAATGTAAATAATTAAATCGTAGGCTCCTTATTTGCTGATCTGAATTGTACTCCTGTGGTAGAAAAGGAATGGATACCAAGCAGCCAGACATGTCCATATTTTAAATTGCTATACATTTTAATTTCATAGTTGTACTAGATAAATGCGCTGGTATTCATATGTTGATTACAATGGTCTCTAAGAACCTTCTCAGGGATGCAGATGGAAATTAAATAATAGCTAAATCTGGCATCTGCGAGGTGTAATAAGCTATAATAATGATAAAGCTGACAGATTTAAAAGGCCCCACAGTGATTCATGATATTTCTCTCCGCTCACTCATCTTCTCTGCAGATTCATCAGGGTGGTGGACGGGCAGGCATCAAGGAAGAGAAGGCCTTTTCCCTGGTAATTATGTGGAAAAGATCTGAAAAGGACTTGATCTGTCTTGGGAGAAATATGTGTATTTTGTTAAAAACAGCACATTCTGTTTGCTTTAAAAACTGCCTGGTTGCATGGCAGGCCGTCATCCATAAACTGTCTAAGGGTGGACCTCGCTGACATTCCACCAACATATAACTTGTTTGGCATCATTATGGTCAGAATAATCAAAAAACAGATCCACTGCAAATAGCTGCTCAGGTTTTATCCGTTGTTGTTCTGAATGACAAGAGTTTTTATTTCACCTGGTCTCCCACAACAGCTTTCTCTGAGCTCTTACTTCCCTGAAGTTAAAGTTACAGAAAAAGGACCTGAAAATAATGCATCGCTTTCTGGTGTCTACAGTGTTTTTGTATTTTTTTCCTGAAGCTTCTCCAACATCCATTACGACTCAGTATTTGTGATTAAGAAAGCAGCGTGAAATCAAGTAAAAGTAGATATTCAAAAATATAATTTGATTGTTGTGTTAAACATTTAACCAGATAATTCAGATCAATGAAATACCTTGAAAGCCGCAATACATTTGATCACAACTTTTAAAATAAATACATATATCACTGTTAGTATTTACTCCCATATTTTTTCAGCTAAATAAAAAACAAGAAATATATTTTCATATTTTGTACCTCAAGGAATTTTGCACTGGTTTTTGTGTTATCATCAGTAAGTTATAACATATGTCTAAATAACAAAAAGTAATGTCTAATTAACTTTACATTTTAAAGGTGTTTATTTCTGCTTTATTATTTTTGCTTTTTTTCATTTGTGGTTGATTTTGTAAAATAATGTAATTCTCTCACAGTCAATCAATATCTGTTTTTGTATGGAAAATAAAGAGTTTTAACCCTCTGAATCACTGATTTTTTCTTTTTTTTAACATAAATGTTTTTGCTTTAATCTCCAAATGGTAAAAGTCCTGTATTTATTTCATTGTAGATACAGCAACAAATATTTTTTATATTATTTTTAATAAGAGATAAAAACGAATTATTGAGGGGAACAATGCAGTTTTCGAAATACAAAATACAGAGCAAACAAACAACTCATAAAGGTGCATTTACCTGTACTGATGTACTACTGTACACATGCATACACATGAACTATGACATAGGCAACTAGGGGTCGTGGTATGTAACTTAGTATACAGTATTTACTCAAGTACTGTATGTGACAAAATTCTTGGAGCAAAGAACTGGAAACACAAGAACAGCTTTGAATGGATGTCAGACATGAAAATGTATTGGAAGTTTCGGCCGTATTGACAAAGATATTTTGCTGAGACACCTGTGCCCAAACCAGCTCTGAGGTTCTGAGGTGCTCCTTCTACTTCTACTAACAGACAGCTGGTAATCAAAACATTCCATCAGTAACCAGTTCAGTTTGTTCCCGATAAGCAGGCTCCAGAAGACCTCAGTCAGGTGAGGTTTACTCTCCGGCACATTGCATGTTTAGTCCTATCATTATCTGACGGACAGAATGTCTGCATATTCAAAAGTAAGGATGTACTGATAAACAGTACAAGAAAACAGGGGCCAGCTAGTCTTCATACAATAGGACGCCCTAAACCCAAGGCCAAATAACTGCTGTCTGTACAGACAGAGAAACATAAACTGATGCAAGGACAGAAGCATAGGTGGGAAGTAACTAAGTAGATTTACTCAAGTCAATTTTGAGATACTTGTACTTTACTTGAGTATTTTCAAAGTTCAAGGTTCAAGGCTTTTATCTGTCATATACGTACATAGCTACATGTTATGCTACTTAGTACTTCTACTCCACTACACCTTAGAGGTGAATTTTATACTTTTACTACACTGCAGTTATTTAATACCCTTAGTTGCTGATTTGGATTAATAATGTGAAATATAATCAACAATTAAATAAGACTTTATAATCAACTTAAATTAGACTTTAGTTACACCTGGGTAAATTCACAAACTACCCTGCAGTATATTAAGTGATTAAAACTAGCTGCAAATTTAGCAGCTTTGATAACACTTTAATGCATCAATATTTAAAATCAAAACAGATAATGTGTTATTCTGAAATGGACCAATTTGCATAATAAGTACAATAAGACAGAAGTGAAGAAGGTACTTGTATGTGAGTATTTCAATTTTTGCTACTTTATGCTGTCAGAGCTACTTGTAAGATTCTGATTATTTATGAATAAATCAATTAGTAAAATATTATGATTTGTTAAGCTATCCAAAATATATAATCAGTAATGTATTTTTGTTCATTCTAAAAGTAATAAATAGTTCTACCCAAATGATGATGATTATACAGCTATTAATTGAATGTCACACACACACACACACACACACCACACACACACACACACACACACACACACACACACACACACACACACACACCTCCTCTTCCGCCCACTCATTACGTTCATGCTTTTATTTTGGAATTTGCATAGCTGGTTTTGCCCACAGAGGAAGCAAAGCAGATGGACCGGTTGAACCTTCTTTACAGAGGAAACTCAAATCCAGCAGCTACTACCTGTAACACCTGAGGCCTGTACTACGAATCCAGTTCAACATACCCTGGATCAGTAGCGGTTCTAGACCAATTTGACTGGGGGGGCCAGGCTGGGTCCAGTTATTTTCTGAGGGGGGCACAATAAATGCAGGACGAAAAAGACAAAGACAGTATGAAGTAATTGCGCATAACCCAATGCGACAACCCAACCATCAAAAAGACAACATAGAATAGCGGACTATACGTTCAAATGCGCGTTCCTGTGTCAAGGGGTGCATTTCACGACGGGGGTGCATCATTTCACACAACAGTGTCAAAAAAGGATTGACTACCCTCACTATCACCACAATGAAACACGTCCAGAAGAATGTCATGCAAAGCTGCCTGCCTGCCTGCCTTCCTTCGATTCTCCCTGAACTGCCTGATCTTTTTAATGTTCAATGTCACCATTTGTGCAGATAGCATGAAGTAGAAAAGATCGCCGATGCTAATGTAGCGTTAGCGTTAGCATTTCTCCCCCGGGAGCATCCGGGCTTAAACGGTGTATTATAGAATGATCACACCGGTGTGAGGATCTACAGTACTTCCTCCTTCTTTTCCCCTTCTGTGTTTGTTTTGTCTGTTTGTCTGTGTGTCTGTCTTCCTGGCTGGGCGTGGCTGACCTACATTCTGATCCCGCCAACTCACCTCCGCTGCTGTTGTTCATCTCACTGATTGCCACTACTCACCTGCACCTGCTTAAAACCCTGGTTCCCATCCTCCGAACCGTCAGTTCGTTCCCGATGCTGCTCGCTCCAAGGTCCTACAGTGGGTCCACAGTTACCCGGTTTCTCCATCCATCCCGGAGTTAACCGCACACGCTCCTTTCTTAGAGACACTTCTGGTGGCCAACTGTCAACAAGGACACTCAGGAGTTTGTTTCTTCCTGTCCACACGTGTGCTAGGAGTAAGTCCTCCCACCAAACACCTGCAGGATTGCTCCAGCCTCTACCCATCCCTAGTCGTCCTGGTCACATATCGCCTTGGACTTTGTTACCGGCCTGCCTCCCTCCCAGGGTAACACCCACAATTTCACCATTGTTGACAGGTTCTCTAAAGGCCCTGACACACCAGGCAGTCACCAGAGAACTCGCCTGGTGGTCTCCAGGAGGCTCCCGTTGAGGGGGGGGGGGGGGGGTACTGTGAGGATCTACAGTACTTCCTCCTTCTTTTCCCCTTCTGTGTTGTTTTGTCTGTTTGTCTGTGTGTCTGTCTTCCTGGCTGGCGTGGCTGACCTACATTCTGATTCCCGCCAACTCACCGCCGCTGCTGTTGTTCATCTCACTGATTGCCACTACTCACCTGCACCTGCTTAAAACCCTGGTTCCCATCCTCAGACTTCGCCAGTTCTTCGTTTATTCTTCAGTGGTAAACTATCGTCCAGGCCTACTAGTATTTTTCCTAGTGATTTTTTGATACTCCTTGTGAAAGGATATTCTTTCCTAATCCTGCTTATTTTTCCTGTTCCAGATCCACATATACCTGCCGCTCTGCCTGCCACGTCCAGCCTCCCCTCCTGGTCAGTCCAGCTCCACGTCTCCCTTCTGTGCTCTTCGTCAACTCCTTGCCAGTGTCGTGGACAAAATAAAGCCCTTTTTTGACACTTCACCACTGTCTCAGTTTTAGTGCTTGCATAGCGGGTTCTCATCTCCAGTCACTTCTCGGGAAGCCTAACAACCAGTGTGACAGTACTCTTCAAAGGGTTCACGAAATATGACTACTACTCTTACTGTTTAACATTTTGGGTTACTTAATGTTACTTCATGTTAAGGCTAATAAAAATGACAAGGCTAAGGCTGGAATGCTAACTAACGTGCTTGCTACTAGCTAGGTAGCTAACTTGATCCAGCCACTCATGGTCCTTTCATCAGACGGGAAACGAAAGAACGAGCAAGACCCATTGCTGGTATGATGACAACCTGGTACTAAGCACACAGGCATAAAGTTATCTTATCTTAGCTATCTCTTATATTTAGTGGAGGAAAACAATTATGACATCACTTACGCAACTCTGGGATTTGTAGTATTTCTAGTTGTGTATTTTTCATAGTCTTATATTTCAACAGTTTTATGACAAACTGTGACTTTTTTTACATGGAAATTATTTTTTAAGATTGACAAACATCATATGTGTAATTCATGGCACAATTCAAACGGGATCGAAAGATACGTTTTCTCTCCCCATTGACTTCAATACATAATTCCGAAATAAGGTCCCATGGGTCGGAAGTAGATGGGCGGGACTTCGCCCCTATGGAGAGGCGAAGTCCCGCCCTTCCACAGGTTAGCCGTTCAGCATAAGTTACCATGGAGATCTAGCCCAAGCCCCCAGGAAGTGCGCCGGACTCTGATGAAAATATTCGTTGTGTTCGAACGGCTGTACTACAATTTCCGTATCAATCCGTGACGTCATTGGGCTCAGAAAGACTTTTCCCCATTGATTAACATTGGGAAAGAAACGTCTGTAAATCAGCGGATAATTTTTTTTAAACTAAATAAACTACCCATTATGAACTATTTTATAGCCCTTATTATAATCATTAGGTCCTTAAAGTTGTAAAATGCACTAAAAGCCGAATCTAGATTTATTTTCTGTCTCCATTCATTCTACTGAGCCGAGAGTGGGAGCTCGGGGGGCGGGGCTCTGTGAGCGCACATACAGGTTCTTCTGCTCTGACAGCCAAGCATGACGGGTAATCTGTGACGTTTCGCTCTCTCAAAAGTTGGGCCATTTTGTCATCATGCGCCAATGAGCAGCTCTCATAGGAAATAACGAGACCCCGCCTCCGACGCTGTATCCAGTTCTTATTATACATCCATGATCTAGCCCGGTAAGAAGAGAACCAGCGTCGTAGGACCGGAAACCCAGAGTTTTCCCTTGAAGTTAGGCTCGCTAAGCGAAAATCCGGCTTCGTAGTACAGGGCCTCTGTTGCTGTGATCAGTCTGTTCCATATCACTCCTTTATGTTTATGATATAAAAATATTAGATTCCTGACATGTAAACAATGAAGCCTAAAATGCTGCGAACAGTGGCAGTTCTAGACCAATTTTACTGGGGTGGCCAGGCTGGGGGCCAGTTATTTCATGAGAGGGGCACAATAAAGCGGATTAAAAAGACAATTGTAATGGTTGTAAAATAAACATAAAATACAGTAATTGGTATTTGTTTTTGTAAAGGTATTTGTTTTAGTACATTTAAGTTTACAGTCCTATGGTCAGTGTTACGGGGGCACTGGCCCCTGTTGGCCCCCCCTAGAACCGCCCCTGGCTGTTAAATCACTCGAATACTCGAGATTTCTTTAAAATACTTTTTACCTCACTTGATGAGAGCTATCAATCAATATTGTCATAGTTGTCATAATAACTGTTTTTTTCCATTAAATGCCAACATTTTAAATGAAGGTAACAATGCGAACCCATTCTAGACATATTCCCTCGGGGGCATCTTTGCCCAGCGATGTGAACCCGTTCAGCGTGCTTATCAGTGACGTCACGGTCTCGTGCAACAGGCTCGGGAGCGTTTCGATGCACCTGTTGATCCACCTGGAGCAGAGCAACCACGACGGACTGCAGGGTGAGACGGCAACATGGGAGGTAAGATCCATTACTCTCTGATAATTACGATATAAGTTAACTTTTTTTTTTGTAACTAAGAATGTACTTTTAACTAGCTGGTTATCACTAGAACAGGTGTGACAGTGCACCCTTCACAAGAAATCACTAGAATATTCCTGTTGTTGCTTTGCTTTGCTTTGTGCTCTGTTAATTAGGGACAGACCCTGTATACTATAATAAAATACAACAGCAAAGTTATATATTACAGAGTTTATAGTGACACTTTTCAGAATTTGGCAAATACATTGTTTATAATTAATTAATAATAGTTAGTTCTTTTTTTTCATGAACATTTAAAGGGACTATCATAAACGGTTATCTTAAACGTTCTGAGAAAGAGTACCATTGCCCATTTGAATACAAAATACAACTCTGGAAACTGATTTCCATAAACCACTATACAAACACTGACAAGCAGTCTCCCTGAGATAGGCTCCACTTTATCTGCTGAGGGAACAACTGACACTAACGTGTGTAACACTCCAAGCGCTCTAAATAAAAATGTAATGAATTATTATTATTATTATTATGGGTCTGTATTGTTCACATTCTCTCTGTCTGACAGGTTTTCTGCTCCAGCGAAAAGATGGCAGGAGTTTTCTCCTATGAAAGTTCAGAAATCGACTGGTGTGAAGACAACTACAAACACTCCGAACATATAGTGGAGTACTTCAACACTGTAAGTATACAGTATATCACAGAGATGCAGCATTTATGTCAATACATTGTTGAAGTTATCAGAAGAATATCTATAATCAAGCTAGTAATAATAATATAGTCATAATATTTGTCCTTTCTTAAATAGGAAATCAATGTCTGATATGAATGAGTTGGTTAGTTGATTCATTGTTTTTGCTGATTGATTCATTTTATATTTCCCCCTGCAGATTAGCAGCTTTTTCTTCTTCATTATATCTCCCATCATGCTCTATCTTCTGCACCCTTATGCCAAAGAGAGGAACCTGGCGATTCACATGGTCTGGACCATGATGATATTTGTAGGTCAGTCACTCTTCATTTTCCTTTATTTTATAAATGGTATATGTGTCTCTTTCTCCATTTGAGATACATTGTGTTAGCAACTCAGGGAATAGACTGTTGTTAGACAAACATTATACTTTGGGACAAAATGTAGAAAGGGGAGATTTTGTCATAGTGGCTTTTTGACAATTTTATGGAACAAACCAAACCGTTACTTATTGTTAATACAAATAAATGTTAGTTGCAACTCAACTGGCATGTGAAGTAAAATGACCAGTCATTACAAATAAACAATAGAAATGTCAGGATAGTTTGTAAGAATTGTTTGTACCTAAATGCAGTTTTTTGTTCTTTCCTGTCCTATTATTTTAAGACTTATCTTATGAAACAGTGGTTTCAAATGATCAAAGACTACTTTTGAAAATGTTTGACCATGTCATTATATGTCTCGGTTTCCCCCTTTAGTAATTTTTTATTCGTCTTTTCTGCAGGGCTCTTCTCGGCGTACTTCCACATGACTCTTAGTTTCGTTGGCCAGATGTTGGATGAGCTGTCCATCCTGTGGGTGTTGGCGATGGTATATGTAGTCTGGTTCCCCCGCAGACTCTTCCCTTCTTTTATTAAAGACAGGTAAAGCAACCGTACAGCAATTTCCAAACAACACACAAGTTGGTCAAAGGTCTTTGTTTCTGTCTTTATTCATCTCCATGTGTTACTATGGACTCACAGACACACAACGCTGAATAATCCTTTAATAAGACAAAAAACAAACAATGAGAGTTCGTTTATGAGGCACGCCACTGTGAAACACAACCTGTACTGTCGTGCAGCCTGTTTGACAGCATCAACTGGAGTCACAAAGAAACAATGTGGAGCTGCAGTCTGCACCTGAAAGTGACAGATAGGGGCTCTTGCTATTGTAGAGAAAAAAAGCTCCACCCAACCTGTGTAAATATTTCACAACAAGGTAGAGAAAGATGACTGAAATTTTGATGAGCATATGAAAAGAATCGCACAGACCTGTTTCGAGAATGTCATGTTGATATTCCAGTTTTTCAAAGTCATGGGTTGGTCCTCCTGAATGAAAGATAACTAAACAATCCCACCAGAAACAGTCACATAGATACCAGAGGTCAGAGGGCACCTTTTGCCACTTTCTCTGTAAAGCAGGCAGCTGTTTCAGTGACAAAGCTCTAAATACTCATTGTACACTACCTTCTCGACACCAAACAACAGATATGCAAAGCTAGCAACTAGCCGGTGAACAAAGTGGAAGATTGAGTGGCTGATGAACCAGATAGTTCCCTCAGGAGTTAGAAGAGACCAAAACAAAGCAAATATGGACTTACAAGTAAATGATAACCAGACCCTTAACTACTGGGTGTGTGTAAATAAGTAACAGTTTGTTAACAAGGTAACCAAACAAACTTTGAAATTGTTGATATGGCAAGTTTATGTTCACACCCCCTAACCCCAAAAATCACTTATTGCAGCTTTAAGGAAACAGAACTTTTTTAATTTTAAATATTTTTGGATAGTTGTGCAGAGGAATTTGAACATATTTCTGCTGTAAGTCATTTCTGAAGCTAAACTTCTGGTGTTTTTTTTTTTATCAACAGCAGCGCCTAAGAGTTGTCGTTTATGCAGAACTTCACTTGAAGATACGCTAAATGACTTAACCCTTAACCTTGACATGCAACTTATGTTTTTTGTCTTCTGTCTGTTCATTCACAGGTCCACCATTTTTCAAACCTTGTCCTGGTGATTACTATCGTCTCCACGCTGTCATCCTTTGTCAAACCTACAGCCAACGCCTACGTTTTTAAACTGCTTGGCATTCATATGGTTTACATGCTGGCTGTTGAGATGAAATGGTATGTAAACTCTGGTGCTTTTAAGCATCTGTCACTGGTTTGGGTGCAGCGTTGATTGTTATGATAACCAGTATTATCTCTCCCTCAGCTGCACTGACCAGAAGGCTTTGCGTCTCTGCAAGGTGTCGGTGGCTCTGTGGGTGCTCGCTGTCTCCTGCTGGATTAGTGACCGCTTTGGATGCAGCTTTTGGCAGAGTCTGAATTTCTGCTACCTGCACGGTATCTGGTAAGTCCTGGCTTACTTGTCTTCTTTTCTTGTGCTTTCCTTTCCTTTCCTTTCTTTTATTTTGAAACGTTTCCTTTGCAAATACATTCAGCAAAAAACTTACCACCACCTTAACATTTATGACTAAAAAAACATCTGCAAAAAACATACTGACAATATCTTTAATTAAACAAAAAAAAAGATGAACATTTGTATGGTTTTATTTACGCACTTATTCACAGTGAGGGTGAGATAATGGTTAAGGTTTAATATTTGAAAAAATCAACAGTGACTTAAAGCAGATGTACCTGTATTTCACATTTTATTAAGCCACCACCTTCCCTAAACCCTTCATAAATTTACAGTGTTACCTTAGATTTTGGACACAAAATGCACATGTCGCACATTCACTGCTAATTCATTGTTTGGTGTAAATGTAGCTAATTAAGTTTCATGAATACAATTAAGTAGTATGCCAACATTATTTCTAAGATACAGGATTGTTTCTTTTTTTCTTTTTCTTAATGCATGCTCGTGTGTATTGATCTTCATTATCTGTTTCCTGCAGCACATTCTGATAGTGATAGCAGTGGCCTATGGGCACCACCTGATAGCTTACCTTGATGCCAGCTATGAGATCCCGTACTCTCTGCCGGTACTGCAGTACTGGCCCTGTGATAGATGGGCTGTTGGAATACCTCACATTGTCCTGAAGGGCACGACCAAAACACAGAAACGGTGCTAACAAAGTCATGTGTAACGTCGGCAGCACATCTGCATTAGCACACTTCATGTGTTCATAGAGGCTTCTACCTTAAAGACACAATCTGTGAGGAAATAGTCGCATAGAATAATGATAACATAGGATTATGACTTGATCACATAAGATTGTTTTCTGATTCCGTTAAAAGATTGTTACACTAGCTGGATTACCAAATGGGCCTACTGGGGTCCGAGTTGGGTTGAGTTATGCAGGTTTTAACAGAACTCATTTGCACATTAACGTCTGAAAACAAAGATATTTATATACCATGCCAGTATAAGAAAGTGCTAAAAATATTTGTGTTGATAATGAAAAGGGGGAGCTTGAGATAAAAGTGAAAAATGATGCACTAAAAATGTGAGATCGAACTGTGTTTATGTCTTTGCCAAGAGGCCCATTGTTTAATATGCCCTCTATTTTTTACATTAATAATCATTGTCGACACAAGGCTATTGCAATTCTTAATCTATGAGACACACAAAGTATTTTTGTATAATCTACAGCATGTTTCAGAGTTTAAATAAATTGTATTGAAATAAAAACATTATTTATATGTATCTAATGATGAATAATTTTGATACTGAAGCACATTCGATAATTACTCCAATTGAAACATAAAAACTTTTTGGGGAAAATATAAAAACAAAAACTGTTGTGAACAGACCCTGGAGGATGTCTGGTGTTAAGAGTTTGACTGATATATAACTTATTGATAGACATTTAAGATGATGACTTAAAGATCATAAATTGTCTAATAAAGGAGAACATTTGAGAATTTGTATGTAAGTTTTGGAAGTTAAGAATCTTTGGCAGTTGAGCATTTTTGTTTTTTATATAAATCAATTGCTGTTATTTAATTTGAAGGAATTAATGCACATTTTATTCTTTACATGTTAACATTTTATTAACATGGATACTATTATTCTTAAGCATGTGGTATTTATGGTGGTTCCCAGAGGACAGACATACACTGTCTTTGGAGCAGCATAACCTGAACTGAGTTGTTCAGGTTATGCTGATTATCTTTATCTGTTTATCTTTATGACATTAATTTGATTATTACTAACATTCAAGTCACATCTGTTTCTTGTTTTCATTCAGGACCAATCGCTTGCAAATATATGTCATATTTGTTTACTGAATCATAACTGAACTGCCTTTTCTTCTCTCTCAAAAAGCTCTTGATTTTGGGTTGTTTGAGAATATTCAGGTACATCAGGCCTCTGTTCACATGATCCTTCCTGAAGGATACAAAAGATGCAACAATAGAAAATGCACTCAGGCATTCTCTGGACCTCAATGCTTAAAAGTGACCTCCTGTGAGTGATGAAGTATTCAAAAGCAGTCAGTGCTTTTTTATAAAAGTAATCCCTGGATGTAAATGGTGACAGGCAGATGATATACAAAGAGGGGGAAAAAAGCTGAATTTCATTTCATATGATAAGATCTTAGAATCCTATATTTGTAACTTTTTACTACCTTGTCTATAGATAATAAGTAATAGCCTTACAGTTTGGGATCTCTAGATCAAATGTATTCCAACCAAGGGGTTTGGAAATATATACATTTCTGGAATCACTAAAAATGTCAGTCAATTCACCACATAGTTGACATTCATGGTTGCCAGAGGAGGAATCCCCTGACTTTGAATATACCCCTGCCTGTTAAGGTTTTCACTTGTCACAACTGTGACATCAAAATCTAGTTAAGAGTCAGGCCGCCAGACAACAAATCCAAATTACTTTAATTTCCACGATCGCCTGACTTTTTTTCTACTGCCACAAGAAGGTTGATATTTGTGGTTATGGTGAAACATCTAAACAACGGTTTTGATGGATCTCCATTAAAGCTTTACAGACAACAAGCATTTGAATCACTCTGACGCCATCATCAGGTCAACATTTAAATTTGTCCAAAACTTTTTTGATGAATACGTTTCATGATAAATCAATCAACCTCCACTCATGCTTATGGCTAAAATGTTAGACAAAGTAACCTGGTCGCAAGTGTGAGCATAATGTTAATGGTGTCATTATCTCCCTGTCCACTCACACACTGCCAGCTGTGTGGAAGCAAGCTCTGGTATCACCCCCTCTTGAAAGCTGGTGATCCCACGTTGTTGAATAACTACGTCCTATCTCAAATCTTTCTGTGTTATCAAAGATCCTTGAGTCCCTAGTTTCTACTCAGCTAAAACTTTTTTTAAATTCACACAACATCCTTAACCCTATGCAATCTGGATTCAGATCAAAGCACAGTACTGTGACTGCCAGTCTGAAAGTCTTAGACGATATTAAGGCTGCTTTGGATAAAAAATCTGTTTGTGTTGCATTGTTTATTGACCAGCCAAAGCATTTGACACTGTAGATCACCACATTATGTCTAATGTTATGTTGGTGTCTCGTTTCGGTCATAATGCCATTTGCTGGTTTCAGAGTTATCTAACCGACCGTACTCAATGCGTCACGTTGGGTAGTACTGTCTCTGACCCTGTCACCTTGGAGAAGGGAGTTCCACAGGGCTCTATTTTGGGGGCCTTGCTCTTTTTATTATATGTAAACAATATTTGTAATCAGATGCATTTTTCTACCTATCATATGTATGCTGATGACACTATTGTATACTCATGTGCTCCTTCTCTGGATATGGCCGTTTCCAATTTAAAATCAGATTTTATCACGCTGCAACATGCACTTCTTGATTCCAAACTGCTATTGAATAGTAAGAAAACCAAAGCAATGCTTTTTGCTCCCAAGTCAGCGTCCTCTTGCCTCTCCATTGACACCCTTGATGGCGTCTCTGTTGAGTTTGTCAATACCTACACATATCTGGGCTTTTGGTTGGACAGTAATCTGAACTTCAAACATCATATTGAAATTCTAACAAAGAAATTGAAATTCACTCTTGGCTTCCTTTACAGACTTAAACGTTGTTTTTCAACTTCTTCCCGTAAAAGGTTGGTCTCTGGCTTATTCCTATCCCAGCTGGACTACGGTGATACCATTTATAGATTTGCCTGTCCCACTGTTTTGGCCAAACTTGACCCACTCTACCATGCTGCACTGCGTATATATCAAATGCTCCCTATAGGACTCATCATTGCAAACTGTATAGCCTAACTGGATGGTCCTCACTTACTATGCGTAGGATGCAGCATTGGCTTTTATTAATGTATAAAGCCATTTTAGGTAAGCTTCCACTGTACATATGTGCCGGATTTGCCCCAGTTTGTGACTCTTACAACCTCAGACCCAGTGCCTGGATACGGTTCCAGGTACCTGCTGTGCGGACTGAGGCTGGAAAAAGGAGTCTTTTTTATTATGGTCCTTGGTCTTGGAATGACCTTCAATCACGCCTCAAATTGACGCCACTTGTCTCAATAGCATGTTTTAAATTGAAGTTGTCTGAAGTCCTTACCACCAGCTGCTCTTGCAGTAATAAGTAGTGCACCTTTCTTACTGTCCTAATGTGCACAATGTAGTGACTGCTTTTTCGTCTTTTGTTTTCTTAGTTATGTTCTCTGTATTTTATACGTTTGTGTTATGTGTTATGTGTAACGTTGCTGCTTCTTGGCCAGGTCAGCATTGAAAATGAGATTTTATCTCAATGCTTTTATCTGGTTAAATAAAAATAAATTAAGAGCACTGATAAAGGATTTAGCTCAAAGTCTTAGTCTGACATTTTTCTCAGTTTTGTTTTTCTCAAAGGTTGGGAACCACTATATGTATTACTTCATTGATATGTTATGTGCACAATATTTGAGTTTTAATGAAGGCTTTGAAAGTCACAGGATGCAATTTTGGGAGATCTTGGTTGATCATGATTTGCATGGATTTACACATTACACAAGTTGGACTTGTTGATAACCATTTTTATGAATACTTACAATAAAACTGTTATGTGTGTGAAACCTGTGGGACATGGCTTTATTTTGTATTTCTCCATCTCTTACATTTTGAAAAGGAGGATTTAGAGGTTGATATCTCAATACCAGCGGTGGGACACCCTGGTGTCTGACGGCAAGGTGGGATTTCTTTAACTCACATTTGAGCCGCAGGGGAAGAAGAAGAAGCAGGAGAGAGCGATGACCTTCTGTCCCATAGCTGAGGCCTGATAATCTCACATCAAAGTCTGAGCACCACAGAGACCTGATTGCAATGGACCCTCGCTCCCTGATTAAGATTACACATTTTTTAAACAGACATCATAAAGCCATAATAAATGAATTTAGAGATACCAACTTTAAGAAAAAAGTTAACTCAAGGATGCACACAATGCATGATGCAATAAATGGCAATTGTTTTTATTTGTGTACAAGAAATATTACTTTTAGGGCACAAAAATTTAGCTTCTCCAGCAGGTTTCCATGTATCGCTGGTAAACATTAAATACACATACAGAAATGTGCATGGTTTTACTTACACTGAAATTCAAATATGTACTTTTGCCCAGTCATGAAAATAGTATGTAGATGATCAAGGCAAGGTCTAAAACCACAAAAAGGGCCTGCATTCAAAATACAGTCAAATAGTTTGCAAAAAACAAGAAAACCACTTGCTGCAACTAATTTAAATATAATTGATAAATAAAGCTATTCAAACATGGAAGACTTTGAGTCTCCCTCTGAAATTCAGTTGAGTACAACATTGCATTAAATGTAAAAAACTTCAGTCAAGTATCTGAAACTTGCAATTGAATACTATAATTGTGTAGTAATGAGCATTATGATTTTATAAGAACAGCATTGGCTGGAGATCAATGATACATTGTGAACTTTTAAGACAATTGTATATATTTTCCCATTAAAAAAGTATACTTATTATTTATGAACATATGAACTGCAATGCATAGTAGGCCATAGTGCAAACATATCTATGAGGTGCAATCCCAGAATATTCACATTGTACAAAAAAGGAATAAAGTTGTATGAGTAAGTTATAAGCGTCTTTGATAATTATATTGATTTTGCATTTGCCAGACTAATAGCAATAGCTAAAATGTCAAAGCCATGTAATCGAACCCCGATTAATCAATTAGCATCATGTGCATTTTACAATTGAAACAGAGCCGTAGCCATTGGGACAGGCTCGCTGTCACTCGAGAAAACCAGCAGAAAATGCTTTAATTGTATTTGCAGCTCAACGGCTGCCCCGCCTCCCGAGTGTAGTCATTGGTCTCTTTCAAGAGTGCTTCAATTTCCCGCTCCCTGATTGGCTGAGAGAGCTTTCTGTTTTGGTTGCCTGCCAGCAGCCGTCTGGAAGGGGAGGGGAGCCGTCTGCCTTCCGCTTCTGGGCTGGATTGACACACAATGAGGAGCAGAGGCTGGGGAGACGCTCCACAAACGCCGCTGTAAATAAATACAACAATCACTGAGGCCAGAGAAACATGGAGAACCAGGTACAGTGGCTTTTGTGTCTCCTTGTGGAATCTGAACTTTTCACGGAGGAAACGGCAGCAGGCTGTTTGCTGGCAGGGCAGGAATGAATCCTCTGTGCTGCTAGCCAGAAGAAAAAAATGCTCCTGCTGCTAATGAACTCGTAGTTGTTTGGCTCTGGAGCTATGCTAGCTGGCCACTCATACATCGGTATTTACCGCTAGCTAGCTTCAGTCTACCACACCATTCACCACCGCTGCATAGCTGTAGCCACAACCAGGCACACAAAGAGATTTACACCTGGGGTTTATTCTGCCCTGCTGTGTTTTTAAACACTCATGCACAGTGTTAAGCAGCATGCAGAGCAATGTGAGTCGAGGTTTTGTTGTAGCTAAGCTAAGCTAGTCTACCTATCAGAAGAGTGTCGGCCGTTGGCTAAAGGCTAAGGAGCCGCTAGAAGGCGCCGGGGAAAAGATTTGTCTCTCCAGGTTGGTCTGAGAGGCGGGGTGGTGTCTCCACTGCCAGCGGCCTGGAGCCTCACATGCAAGGTTAATAAAGCCAGCGACGACTATGCAACTAATGTTTTATCATTGCATTATTTGCCAACAGTTGGTTAATGTTTCCCACATTCTTGATTGTAGATGCATGCAGCATGGTGGAAAAGCTGATCTGTGTGCAGTCATGATGACCACCCATGATTACAAAGCAAAGAGTAAAACATAATTTTAAGGTCTCAGTGGTCTGCTTCTTTCACTGTAATACTATTGCATGCATGTTTAAACTTGCACAGTTAAGATTGATGTCATCCTAAAAAAAACGACATCATTTATTTTGCAGCAAACAGAAAAGTGGGTAAACCAAATTGCAAACTGTGAGGGAGATATTTCTTTAAAATAGGCCACTCTCTAAACGCCTGAGGTTATTCAGGACTATCTTTCAGAAGGTTAGGACACACACACACACACACACACCCACACACACACACACACACACACACACACACACACACACACACACACACACGGATGGACAGTGGCTCAGCTACTTTCTTGGAGCTAGTCACCATTCAGCTTTGGCCCCTTTGAAGTTTTAACTAGATCTGAGCGTGTTCAAGTCTTCTGCTACAAGTTGTAAGAATGGTGTAGTTGTACTGCTGTGGTGAATTTCTCTTTGTATCATGTGACACATTTGCATAATATTTAATTTGTATCATGTATATATATATACAGTTTCATTGTTTATTGGTACATATAGCTAAAAGCAATAACGGTTATACAGTTTTATTGGTTTTAACCTGTTTTAGTGAGGTGTTGATTTAACTTTATGGTCATTTTAGAGCCTGACGTTAGTATTGTATTGATTTGTATTAAAAGGTGTTTCTACTAACTGAGCACTTTAACAATGATACAATTATATTGCAGGGTCATTTTTTTACTGCATTAGTTATAGATAGGACAACTAACCTGCAGTTAAGTCAATCAAATGCAGAGTCAAGAGCGAGAGTCAAGTTCAGTCTGTAAATGTTGCATTTAATTAAATTATGCACATTACAGCATGACACAGCTAAAGTGCTAAATGCGTGTGAAGCAGGGTCATGACTTTATGTAAAAATCCGAAGATCTTCGCTATTAAATCATTGATATCTGCATTTATAAACACTGCGTTGAGATGACAGGCGGAGAGGTCATGCAGCTTTTTGTAATCCCCACACATTCACTCACACACCCTTTTTCCAATACTCGCTTGTTTTCCTTGGGAGCAGCAGATAGGCTATATGTGACTCCCTGTTGCTCTCTGGGATTGACCATTTTCCAATCGAGTAGCTGTTTCATCTCTTTTAGGAGTGAGGTTTGATGTGATGATGAAGGATTAAGCTGGAACCTGCAGCTTCATCAAAGAACAGCCGTTGTTGTGATTGTTTGTTTGCATGTGTGTCCTCTGAGGGAAACTTTCTGACTTTTTATTGTAATCGTTTATTAGCTGAAACAGATTAACATGGTCACGAGGGGTATTATTTACATGTCAGCTGGGAGTTCATTGTTTTCATGGGAGCCAGTGTGTCTGCCAAAATGTGTATTTCCCTAAATTCCCTTCAACCGGAGCTCTGTGTAGGAGAAAGAGAGATGCATGCTCCATATCAATGTTAGTGACTTTTTGTTGAGTGGTGTCGTTGCCTCTGATAGAGGAAAGCTAAATAAATATTGCAGCAAGTAGGTTTTTGAGATGTAGGTCACTGATGTTTCATATCTTCTGACAGTGTGCTGCTTGGTGATTACATGTCGCTCAAGGTTGTTGTTGCTTGTTGTTAGAAACTTTAATCAGCAGTATTTAGAAAATGGTCCTAATATTTTCAAACATATTTGAATTCATTCTGCAAATGTCTTTATCAATAGGGCTTCACAATATATTGCTTTTTTGCCATCGAAATATCAACTTGTGCGCTAAACGCATCACAAAAAAGGTATGGAACTACTGGGAGTTTTTGTTATTTAAAAAAAAAGTATCAACAGAGCTGATCTATCTAGCAATACTTTTCTTGATGAACACATTAATAATTTGCTCTATATTAAAGTGGACCAATTATGCTATATTGGAAAAAATATATTGTAGGGCCATACCTATACAAAACATGTCTGAAGTTTTTTGCTTAAAATACCAAACAGTTCACCCATTGTAGCCATGCCTCATACTGCTCATACCCCTCTTTTGCAGCCCTGTTAGAGAAACGCGGATTTTGGGTCCTTAGCTTGAAGAAGAAAAATAAGAGGAGGCGGAGCTAATGCCTGATCAGAATTCTACCGGAGATAAAGTTAAATTCTGCTGTGATAAAACGCCATCCTGTTTTAAACCACATCAAAGATTATTTCTGAAACAGTATGGAGCTCAAATGCTTTTTCTCTTGCGGGTATATCACAAGATGAGTTCTTTTTTTATTTCCTGCTTTTTAAACACATGTGCTCTTCAGTACAGGTTAGCTCTGAGTGTTAGCGAGGCTTGCTAATGTAAACAAAGACGAGATTACGTCCAAAACACGTCAGGCATTGTTTCTGATAGCAACTTTCTGTGGGTCCGCCGCCGATTTGACGTCAGATCGGCAGCAAATCTGTATCCGCTCGTTGTACCCCTGTTTTTAAAAGATTTGGGTACGGAGGAAAAGAGAGAGGGTTTTATTTTCTGACGCTGCGCGAGTTCCCCGACGCACCGGGGACACATATTTATGTATAAAAGACATCACAAAGTGCATTTTGCATGATAGGTCCCCTTTAAGTAAGAAGCCCAGGAAGTCCCATTAGGATGATTTCAAGTTGATGACAATTATTAAATGTTATGCTTATTGTTCCTGATTATTTATTCTGTTTATCAACTAATTATTTTATCAATTCAGTTCCAATATTCTCAGCCTCATAATCCCTCCTGGTCTCTTCATTTTTTGATTATTCTGAAAATGTCTGTTTTACCCGCCATGCTTACAATTTATTGTTCCCTTTTTTTTCTTACATAGTCACCGTCTTCCTGTTTGGCTCATTATCTTCCTGATTTTTGTGTTGTCATTATCACCGTTATGATTTCACAGATTTGTCCGGGGTGGGTGGGGGTTGTTGATGATTGAAGGGTCTCCGGGTTTGCTTTTGTGGGTGTGGTGGAGTCTGGAGTTTAAGGGCATTACTGCCACAGAATGACTGGGCAGAGTGCCAGGCAGGGGAGGGGTGTGTGTTTGTGTGTGTGTGTGAGAGAGAGAGAGAGAGAGAGAGAGAGAGAGTTAGCCAGGGAGTGCCAGACTAGCTCATCTCAATCCTGTCCCATCTAATCCCCCCACTCAGTCCCAGCTCACAAACTGCTCTGTGCCGGGGCCAAATCCCCACATTCTTCAGTCCTCCCCTGGACATAAAGTGCCTTTCTGTCCCCTCTCGTATCCCCCCCTACCTCCTTGTTCCCTTCTACACTCCCATCTCCATAGCCTCTTCACTTGCCATGCCAATCACCCAGTCACAGCAGCTCGGGTGTCATTAGCTTGGTCCCATCGCTGTCATTGTTCTTGGCAGAGAGAGCCCAAAAATGTGCCCCTCTTCTGCACAAACCTTTTGAGATGAGTCGGCCGGGCAGCTTATCGCTGCTGTGGTTCCTCAGGGAGCGTCCCGACACCGTCCAGCTTTGTGTTTGTCCAGAACAAGTGTTCAGTTTTGCTCTCTTTAGAAGAGAGTCCACACACTCCAAAATAGAGATTAAGAGGTTTTTTGTTCAAGGCGGAATCAGAAACTAATAAATAATGGCCTCTTGGTTTCATCTCAATACGTGCCATGCTTTGATTATTTCTGAAGAAACCTCAGCTAATGTCTTTTAGGCACTATAGAGCACTCGGTAGCAGAAAGCTGGGATAAAAAATATTTTCTTCTTTGATTAATCTGCCGATCATTTACTTGATTGCATTGTGTTAAGGTTAGTAATATCTTAAATTAAAACAATCTCAAATGACTTAAAAAAAGAAAGCAAAAGAGGTTTAAATGTTTAATTAACTTGCGGAAAAAAACAAGAAATCTAGATATTTCCTAAAGCTGAATTAACTGATCAATTAAGCAATGAATATGAAATTATTTTTACTTCAATCGTTTGACCTACTTACTTTTTGGACAAAGTGATTATTTTCTGATTGTCTTCTCTGTGAAATGTCAGAAAAAATAATCTGCATAATAATACATTATTTCAAATATTGGGGTTGCATTTATTTGACATATAAACCTCAGACCAGTTAAAGCTAGGGTAGGTAAGTTTGAGAAACCGGCTCGAGCACTTTTTGTTATATTCCATGGAATGCTCTTAACATCCCGATAGCAATGAATATCTTAAGTGCTTTGACAACAAATCCATAAAAAAATGTCATCTGTGGAAGCCGTAGTACTGTAAAAAGCACGACCAATCATTTTAGCCGGCCCGGCTAAAATAACTGGATGGCCTACCTGCCTGTCAGCCTTCCATCTGTGCACAAACTTATCTCGTGCCCTCATTGGTCATGTGCGCGTTCGTGTGTGTTGGAGGAGGGGCTCTGTAAGGAAGTAGCAGATTTTCTCCGGTTGTGTATTTTCAAATTCTAGCGATCTCGAGCCGGTTTCTCAAACTTACCTACCCTACCTTTAAGTTATATATTTTTCTAAGATGAGGAAACAGGAATCTACTTGCAGTTGAAACACTCACCAGAGGAAGAAAACCTCAAGGCATTTATTATTTCTATTTGACAATTTATTTGAAATTTCCTGCCGTTTGCTTATTTTTTCATCATTTCAATCAGCTTCTTGATCTGAAGAATTTTGCCTGTGTACATTGTCTGCTTGTATATATTTTCCTACGTCTACAGGTCCAGTGTAGTAGTAAACAGTATTTGACTCTGTTTGTATTTGTCTCTTTTCAGTGCACGGTGCAGGTGAAGCTGGAGTTGGGCCACAGAGCCCAGCTGAGGAAGAAGGTGACATCAGAAGGCTTCACCCACGACTGGATGGTGTTTGTCCGAGGGCCAGAAACCGGCGACATCCAGCACTTTGTAGAGAAGGTCGTGTTCCGCCTCCACGAGAGCTTCCCCAAACCCAAGAGAGGTGAGACTAGTGGATATCACATAGCCGGGAAAAAAATATCATATTTCTTGTCTTTGTTATTTCTAGCTTTTTTTATAAATGTGTCTTCACTGTCCATCCTGTAAATCCCTAAGCAAGTTAGATCCAATTAATGATTTATTTGTATGTTTCACAGGGTTTTGTGTTTAAGTAAACAAAATCTTAAACTGGGCGAAGTGGACAGCATTTTCATTATCATAATAATTATGAAAAAAGGTTCTGTTTTCAATCTTCAGGTTATTATTCCTCACATTGAATTCATGGTAGTTTATTGTTTGCCAAGACTGTTGTTCTCAAATTAATGTGACTTAACTTGTTTTCATTTTAGAGAGAGACTTTTATTAATTAATTCAGTTATTAGAGCTCAGTCTATTGATAAATGAAATGTGAGTAATCGAATTACTGCCGTTGGCATGCATGTGTCTGTCTGCAGTATGCAAGGAGCCGCCGTACAAAGTGGAGGAGTCGGGCTACGCAGGCTTCCTCATGCCTATTGAGGTTTACTTCAAGAACAAGGTGAGATAGACTGGACACTGATAGTAATCTGTGTAGTGACTGTCTTTGCATATATTTACAAAATATATAAGAAAGGATAAGTTAAATGAGTTTAATATGGTTTGTATTTGTACTAGGGATGCCAGAAACTGACCATGATCAAATTCGAAAATCGGACAGCCCTGGCGAATATTAATCGATTATTCTGGCCTCCTCCAAGTTTACAGTAAAAACAAACTGGCCATTTACAATTATTAATACTATTACTATTATTAGCATTAGTCTATATTTTGGTTGAAACTAAGCCAGAAAAAAAAGAAAAACATAAATAATAATAAAAAAATATATAAATAAAATCGAATTTTAAAAATAATTTTCGATTATGGAGACTGTAACGAATAATCACTGGCATCCCTAATTTGTACATTGATTTATACATGTTGTGGGTGGTACATGATGGAGTCTGCCATTATTATGGATGTAGTACTTGTGAAGTGCACTGAAACATTTACAAACTGAAGAAGGTTGAGCATAGACTGCCTGTTATATGCTGGAATCCAGTCATGTTAACCAGGTTAACTCGTTAACTTGGTTAAAGAAAACTGGTTGTTCCTTTTTACATGATGATTCTGAAATCAGGTTATTGTCCAAAGGCTAGAATAATCTGATTACTTTAAGTGCATGTAGATTGTATAAGTGCTGTGCAGCGATGGTCTAAAATCCTTCTTGGACCATTTGTTTTGTGAATGGCTTGATTCTGGAGGGCCGCACTAACACACTGTCCTGTAGCAGTTATTATACATGCACTTAGCCAATCAAAGAGCACCATTGTGTTGGTTAAACTTTTATGAGAGGAGCATTTCTCTCTTTAAGTGAGGGAAATAAAACAACCACATACTATTATGCCGGCACCTTTAAGTCTCCATGAGCCATTAAAATGAATGATGAAAGAAAGAAAGACCCACTTTACTCTCATTATAAGATAAGGATGGTGCTTAAGAGAAATGCGCACATTAGTGGACCTGTCTCATGCAGGTCTTTATAATATTAAACCCCTGGACTGCAGCCAAGAACGAAACATCCTCCTCCTACGTGCTAATACACATTGGACAAGTCTGTAAAAAGATCAAGGTAATACTTAAAAGACTAGAGAAGTTAATATCAGCAGCCATTAATCCATCTGATTTAATTAAGACGTTTTTGTTTCTCAAGCATGTTTCGATGCCTTTTCTGCAGCTGTAATTGCCGACTTCTCTCCAGCGTTTCTCAGGAATGTTAGTTGATTCTTATCAGCACGCCGGCTCCAGCTACGTCCGTCTGTTTTATTGACTTCCTGGGTGATAGTTAATTCATTCAGCCTTTATCTTTTGTTATGAAATGGATCAGTTTAATGCAGAAAGACAAACACAACATTAGTTTGTGTCACACTGGCTGCCAGAGTGGGTTAATAACACAGTGTTTCCCCTACCATTGTCTTGGAGGGGCGCGGGGCTCCCTGAAATTCAAGGTGTTTAAAAAAAAAAAAAAAAAAAAAACTATAATTTTATTTTTTATTTTACCAAATTGCAACTAATCTATATCTACTGTCACTTTTCACATTGAACATGTGCTCTTTTATTAAATAAACTAAACGCTTTCATTTTAAGTTGTGAGTTTAGTGTTTTTGACCCTAAACACTGATGCATTAATCAATAACAATAATCCACAGCCCCCCCCCCAAAGCAGTAAACCTAGGGGAAACACTGTAACATGTCTTGTTATACTGTTGTCTTACTTCAGGAGGAGCCAAAAAAGGTGTGTTTCAACTACGACCTATTTCTCAACTTGGAAGGCAACCCACCCGTCAACCACCTGCGCTGTGAGAAGCTCACCTTCAACAACCCCACCAAAGAATTCAGGAGAAAGCTGATCAAAGCTGGAGGGGTGAGGCTGCTGGTACACTTGACTGATGGCTTAATGAGTGACTAGAGTCAATAGCAAACCCTATTCTTGTTAATAGTACTACAGTTCCACGTGATGTATTTCATCATGAGTTGTGAAGCCGCCGCTTTATCCTCAATGTACGGTTTCTGCAGGCATGGAAAGCATTTCAGCATTTTCTTCTCCTGCCTGCCTAATGGTAATGTTAGTTTTGAAACGTTTTGGTTAGCAATTGCAGGTTGTTGGGAGATGTTATGCATTAAACAAACACTAAAAGTAGGAGTGTTGCGACATTCAATTCTGCATGTAGAGGGCTTTTAAACCCTCTATTAGACGGGTAGCAAACATTGTCACAAACCAGCGTCAACTTAAACAAAAACGTAATTTATTGTATTTAAATACTTAATACATCAATACATTTTCTATAACTTGTCCGTAATAATTTAATAAATAGTTTATCATGAGAAAATAATGTTATAGGCCTTTGTCTCCCTACTGGTTACTCATCATATTTAGGATGTGTCAATCCTAAATTTCACTTGTTGAGTCCCGCAGAGATTCTGTTAATGTAACTACTTGTAAGGAATCAGAGTGTAAGTAAACCACCACAAGACACACCTTGTCTTTTCAATTGAGAACAACAGTATTTGATAACGTTTCTGAAAAATTCCAAAATTGAATCCAAAGGTGAATTGATTTAAGTTGCAGTCCGTTTATCTCAAAGCCAGTCACAATTTCAAAAAAGATTTTGCACACCATAAAGTCTTAGTGACAGATCGGTAATGTTGGTGTTTATACATTTTGCTTTATGATGATCTGATGACTAAAATGTTATTAACAAGAGTACAAGTGATGGACAGTGTGCAGGATTCTCTGTTTCCTTTTGAAGTATGTTTTCTGACCACAATTATAGGATTTTATTATTATAGGCTCCCTGACACTACATGAGAGTTGACGGTGTATATACAATAGTACAGCTCCATAACTCTTGTCTCTTTATCTCCAGGTAATGGTGGTTCCAGAGGGGGCTGAAGCTGTGTCCCGGCCCAGTCCTGACTACCCCATGCTGCCCACCATCCCTCTCTCTGCCTTCTCAGACCCCAAGAAGACCAAGAACTCTCATGTGTCAAAGGTTGGTAATATCTTAATTAGTTCCCTAACATTATCAGCTTTCTCTTTTTTGGGGAGAACTTAAGCCAAACTGCCATATGACATATATTGAAAGATAAACGGCCAAATGTCTAAATGAACATTGACAAAAGCATTGAACTGGTCTTGAGATCAGAGAGACTGCGTCTTCTTATCATAACCATCTCTGTACGCAGAATTACTCAGAGAACTTATCTGCTAGGAGACGGGAGATATCAGAAAAAAAGAGGAAACTGATCCTGTTACATTTTCCACTCCTGACACAGTTTTGGTCTGAACCTTTCACAGACCAGTGAACAGTGGGCGGGTCTTATGATCTGATGAAATTCAATTGCCCTTCGTATTTTATTCGTAGCTTTGTATAGTTGTTTTAGTGTATTCGTTTTAGTGTATTGAAGATGTGATCTTCTTTCTTGACACAATCTTTTGGGTCATTTACAAAATGTTAGGACCCACATTGGTAAATTACTTTAGGTTGTGCTTATGACAAAACGTAATCGTGTAAACTAAATGCCCCATTTTGACATAGAAATGCATGTTTCTTCAGTCCACATTTTAATTTTACCATGAGTGGGTGTACGTCAAGCTTTGGCTTGGACTTGGTGTCGTCCAGCTGTGTCCATCTGCTGATTACAGAAAAGGTCATGACAGCCACCTCTAAAAATGTGCTCTGGTCTGTATTGAGTCTACAACCAGCGTTCATAAAGGGCCTTGAATTCACTAAATCTAAAATGAGGGCCTTGAGTTGGTCTACAAGTTTGGTCCCAGGCTAAAAATATCTCAACAACTATTGAAAGGATTTCCAGGACATTTGGTAAAGAAATTAATGGTTACCAAATAATTAATCCTACTGACTTTAATGATCCTCTGACTTCAGCCTTTTGTTTTTTTGCAAATTAGCAAACGTTAGCTTGTTAACAGACTAAACTATGATTTTGAACATGGTAAGCATTAAACCTGTCAAACATCATCATGTTAGCATGCTTACTTTAGCATTTAGCTCAAAACACAACTGTGCCAAAGTACAGTCTCAGCTGTAGCATCTTAGTCTTCTTATTGCACAGTGAAGATCATTTAATAAGCTGTTTTTAAGACAAATTACTTGAGATAATTAATAATAAGCAGATTGGCCTGACTTTGATGTGCAGCTGAGCCAGTTTCTGCCTATTTTGTGAGGCCTTTAGCTGAGTGTGTAATTATCCGTTGTTGATGACGCTGCTTATCTCTCTCTAGGAGCCCAGCAAAGAGGGGAGTGGCAGCAGCAAAGGACCCAAACCGCACAAACTGACCAAGGAGCACCGTGAACGGCCCCGAAAAGACTCTGAGAGCAAAGCCACGCCGAAAGGGGAGAGCGATCGAGACGGGAGCAGCAAGAGTGGCCGAGACCCTTCCTCTTCCTCGTCTTCTAAAAAGCCGTCAGATATCAAAGTAAAAGAAGAAGTTAAGGTCCTACCCAAGGCTGCCTTCAAAGAGCCTAAACTCACCCTGAAGGATTCAAAGATGGAGGGCATGTCCCCTAAAGGAGGGGGGGCGGGGAGTGGAGGGGGTGGTAGTGGTGGTGGAGGAGGAGTCGTCGTTGGTGGTGGAGGAGTCGTTGGTGGAGGAGTCGTCGTTGGTGGAGGAGGCGGCGGTGGAGGAGGCGGAGGAGGCGGTGGAGGCTCCTCAGAGTCTAAAGCCCCGGGGAAACGACCCTCTACTGTGGAGTCTCCCAAACCCAGTGCGAAGAAGAAGAAGGGCAGCTCAGAGGGGCCGAAGGGGCCGACCAGCGGGGCCTTCACAGGAACCTCTCCCCGAGTCTCCTCCTCGTCGGCAGCCAGTCAGCCGTACGCAGAGAAGAAACCCCCAAAGGAAAAAGGTCGCTGGCCCAAAGGCAAAAATGACACACAGGAACCGAAGGAGCCCAAGAAAGTTCCAGAATCTGAAGAGTCTAATTCAGAGGACGAAGCGTCGTCGAAATCAGAGGTCAGCCTCACAGGAGCTAAATATTTCAGACTGTTAGTCGGCTAACGCTCCCAAAAGAGAACATTTGAACGAGGCAATGTATTTGGCCATTAAATATTGTGTCAGTTGATTGATTAAGAATCTAGCTAATCATTTCCTTGAGAGGCATGAAAGTGTTTTGAGATTGGAGCTAATTAAATGCCATAATTGAAAATGACAACACTCCAGGGGCCTCATTTATAACGCCTTGCGTAGGATTCACGTGGGAAGGTTGCTTACGTAGTACAAAGCAAAACATTTTGTACAGAAATGTTCCGACATTTTCCGATTCTCAAAACATTGCGTACCGGCGAGGGAAGTGCGTACCATGGATGTATAATAAGAACTGGATACAGCGTGGGAGGCGGGATCTCGTTATTTCCTTTGAGAGCTGCTCATTGGCGCATGAGGACAAAATGGCCCAACTTTTGAGAGAGCGAAACGTCACAGATTACCCGTCATGCCTGGCTTTCAGAGCAGAAGTACCCGTATGTGCGCTCACAGAGCATGCGCCCCTTAAGCCCCGCCCCCCGAGCTCCCACTCTCAAATGCGCGTTCATAATGCAAGGAAAATAACTCGGAATAACGTTATTAGCACATTTTACAACTTGAGGACCGAATGTTTTTAATAAGGGCTATACAAATGTTCATACTGGGTAGTTTATTTAGTTTAAAAAAAATTATCCAACGATTTACAGACCACTCTTTCCCGATGTCCATATGTGCCTATAAATAGTCAAATAAATGCCCATTCATTCATTCATTTTGACTGACTGCATGAAGAAGATCGCAGGAAATGACGACAGAACAGCTAAAAAAGACATCTCACACCGTGTCAGATTTTGGTTATTTTGGGGAGGTCGAGATAAATCATTGTTTGGTGGATGCAGTTTGAACCAGAGTAGCAGCATGGAGGTCGGATCGTCACCAAAATAAATAAATAAGTGGTCCGAAGTGTGTTGTGTTATATTAGCTGTACAATTTACCACATAGCCTATGGTGTTCTTAGTTTCCATACCTCCTGTGTTTTACGAGCGACTTATCAAGTCTTGGCAAACGGCATAAAACACGATTAAACGTGATAGTATATAAAACCATGCTCGTATCTACAACCTATAGAAATGCTGAACGGCGTCAGTTTAGACGTAATTCTGTCCTCCTGCTTACCGCATCATTTATGAGAAAACATTTCATAACATTAACACAACATATTCGAGGTGGTTTTAAATAACATATCCGTATTTATTTATTTCTCCAAGTTATGTTTTTGTGTGCACTGAGGAGTCTCAAACAGGCGTTTGTTTAATCATTTTAAGATTGGCTTTAATCAATGTTCGAAAATGAATTCTTCATATTTGATAAATGAGAGGTAACATTTTATTTATGGTATTATTTCCACATATTTCTCTCCATTCTTCCTTCTGCCAACGGTGTCGCAGTTTCTCGTCTCTCCCGTTGTTGTGCTTAGTGCGTACGCATGGGTTAGAGTTTGCGTGGAGGACCGCACATTTTCTCGTCAAGTTAGCATTTTATAAATCGCAAACATTGCGTAGAAACTGGCGTACGCCATTTTTTGAGCGTATATCCCTTTATAAATGAGGCCCCTGATGTCAAAAATAATCACCTGTAGTCAGGATTTGTTCAGCACATTTACCTTTTTGAGCCCATCAACTTTTTTACCTATTCTGTCAATTACTTTCCTCACTTGTTATCCCTCTCATCATTTCTTCTTCTCCTCCTCTTACAGCAGTCGGCCCCTTCCAGTCCTTCCAACTCCAGTTCGAGTTCCGACTCCAGCTCAGATTCTGACTTTGAGCCGGGACAGAAACAAGGGCAAGGTAGGAAGTTCATTCCCTTTGATTCACAGCAGAGATTAGCATTAATCTGGGCATGTCAAAGTAGGTTGTAGATGTGTTCTATAACACAACTGTATTTCTCTCCCAGGCCCCCTGCGATCGATGGTAGAGGAGATCCAGTCAGAAGAGTCAGATGATGACGACAGCAGCTCAGAGGAGGAGACGCCCATCAAGACCAACCCCCCCAACCGTGACTCACGGTCAGTCTCTTAAAAAGTCCCATGACATCTTAGATCACACATGTCAAACTCAAGGCCCGGGGGCCAAATCAGGCCCTTGGTGGATTTAATTTCGGCCCGCAGGATAATTTCTAATCACTATTAGATCTGGCCCGCCGGTATATTGCACGCACACCTTCACTCAATCCTGAGGGTTTCCTCAGCTCAGAGCCTGACCCCAAACATTGATGAACTTGCACCCGAGATGAGATGCCAAGTATCTGGCTTGAACTAGCATCACAGAGCAGCACACTGAGTTTCAATGTTTCCTTCTGCACTTTTTCTCTCACAACAACAGGGCATGTTTGGGTTTTTCTTTGAGGGAAAGTGTTTTTTTGAAGCTGTTGTTGGCCTGTGGGAAAATGTAATCATAAGAAATGACTCGGGGAAAAGCTGCAGATAGAGCCATAAGAAATGAATGCAACTGATTATTTAATGTTTAATGTTGTTTTTATAGGCAATCATTTAAGCTTTGTTAGTTCCAGGTTTAATATGTGCAATAAGTTCATTTCAATAAGTTCTGCAATAAACATTGAACCAGTTCGGCCCTCGACTAGTACCGATTTTTTAATTTTGGCCCACAGTGTATTTGAGTTTGACACCCCTGTCTTAGATGATGAAAAAATAACACAGATGTAACCGCGCTCCTGATAAGAGGTCTGCGATGGGTCTACACCAGGGCTATTCAATTAGTTTGGAATGGGGGCCGGTTGATGAAAATGATCCAAAGCAAGGGGCCGGGAAAAAGATGGCTTGAAATATGAGCAATCATATTTAAGAGCTTCAGATACAGTAAATACTACAACAGCATAGTGGAGTGCATATATTGTGTTTAATTCAATCAAACAACATAGCCCCAAGGCCTTTATAGATCTAAATGGCAAGTTCAGAACTCAGTAGGCCTACATGTTTCATTTGATTTCATTTAGGTGAAATGATCTAATCATTCACGCAGAGATGCAATCAATGACAGGAGTTGTCACTACAGTATAGTAGGTGGGTTCGAAACCCGAGCCCGTCGAAGTTTTCAGGCATTGTCTACCCCTCTATCTCTCAATGTAACACCCTCTCTGGAATAAAGGCACAATGGCACAAAAAAAAAAAAAAAAAAGAATCTTAAAAAAAAAAATTTATTACTTTTTAAAATTATACTCAAAGGGCCAGTAAATATCACCCTGGGGCCGGATTTGGCCCGCGGGCCGCCAATTGAATAGCCCTGGTCTACACTTTCATCTTGTTTCCAGCATTATGATTACAATGTATCGTTTCGCTACATGAAATTAGTATGACTGCTTAAATGCATATCTTTTTTCTAAACCTTTCAACCCTTCACTACAATTTAATTGAATCTTTTCACATAATCTGACATATTTTGATAGAGGAACCTTCCCCAGTGAACTCACTGTCCCTAATTCAGTGTTTTGTCTCCTCAGTGTTGTTTACTCTTGTAGATGTCTGTTGTGTCTCCTTGACTGAATGATATCAGGCTCCATATTTGCAGCAAGTTAAGAAACATGAGTTGTGTTATGTCTGTCTTCTCTGTCTATGTGTGATTGACCTCTGACCCCTGACCCCTGTCAGACTCAGCCTGGACAGTGAGAGTGACAGCAGTGACGGCTCGCACAGCCCCAGTCGAGACTCCGCCCGGCCCCCCCAGAAACACAGCTCCTCCAACAACAAAGTGAGTCACACACTTCATTTACTCCCTGATTTCATTGATGTGATGACAGGGACGGAAATTGTTAGAGTAGAAAAGGAACTCCAGACAGGGTTCCTACTTATCTATTAAAATTGAATTAATTAATCTAAAATGATGGCAAATTGTGTTACATTTCCTTAATCAATCTTTACAAAGGTGAAAATGCAAAAAATGCTAAAAGAAAAATGCTAAAGAAATGCTAAAAATACAAATGCTAAGACAAGCAAAGTAGGATTTTGTGAGTCTTCTATTCTGATATTGTATTTAAAAATCAACAATATCAAAAGAACAGTCTCAGGCTTAATTAAGATGTAGACGTCTGACTACTGAATTTCATTAAATGGTTTATTTGTAACCCTCTTGACAGCCTCAGGCTTCCACTTACTGCTTTATCTCTCGTAAGTGTTCCAGCTCTGTGATGTGTCTCATAGCTCACATCACTTCCTCTGTCTCTCTTCTTTGTATCCCCTCTCTTTCTATAATTCCTCTCCTCCTCTTTCTCTTTTTTTCTTGCTCCTGTCTGCAGGTTTCAGGCAGAAAGAGTCCAGATTCATCGTTTCGTTCAGAAAAGGTGTTGAAGAAGGGATACGACAAGGTAGGAAGGGTAAATACAACTTTTTTTTTTTACACTTTACCTCACATACACATACATGCAGTGTTCTGCCACATTCAGCGAGTGCATAATGAATTCAAGATGGAGTATTGGACAGTGAATTGATCCAGATGTGCAAACAGACTCTGGCCTATGAACCCTAGCCTAGAAATCGCTTTTCCTCTTTGTAGCGAGATTATTCATGAAGTGATGATTTTAAATCTGGTAAACCGATCCTATATCGGTCTTTACGCATTAAAACGTTTCAATTCATTTTGTTGAGACATAAGAAAAGTTTAAATCCCATACTGATTGATTTCAAAGGATGCCTTCTTTATAGTAAACAAAAGAAAATAACAAGTCTTTAGTGCTTTTGACAATTTTAACTTTAAATTCACACCTCAATCTGGACTCTTTTTCATTTGACTTTATCATCAGTTTTTCCACCTATATTGTTACTGTATCTACAGTAATGCTCGTACAGAGGTTTACATTTCAATCAAGAATGAAAAGCTGTGACCTCTTTAGCTCCTGTTTGACTCTGAGCATGCTCACTCTGCAGGCGTACACGGAAGAGCTGGTGGACCTCCACCGCAGACTGATGGCTTTAAGGGAGCGGAACGTCCTGCAGCAGGTGTGTGTCTGAACTTCATGCTGTCCATCACAGGATAAACATCATGCTGTCCATCACAGGATAAACATCATGCTGTCCATCACAGGATAAACATCATGCTGTCCATCACAGGATAAACATCATGCCATACTTAATAAGTCAAGTTCTAGAAATTGCATTGGAACTACTTATCCAATATAATAGGAATAAATACAAAATGCATTTTTGAAAAGTGGAGAACATTGTATGTATATATGTTGTCTCCTTGCGGGACTTTCAACTTTAATCAATCTATCATTTTTATTTGGTTTATCCATTTGTCTATTTTATTTTGTCACCTTTTCCGGGTCCAGGCCACGTGAAATACATTAGCTTAAAAATGATATCAAAATAAGAAATGTTCTATGTCCCTTCTGATTTCAATCAGACTGTTATGATGACCGTGAAACAAGCATTTCATTGCTTTCTTTAGAAAGGTTTTTAAAGTTCTGAACTTTAATATGTTGTTGAGTTATTTTCAGCAATGATCTGAATGATCAGCTTATTTGAAGGTTATTAATGATAACTGATCACTTTCTGCTCTCAGATTGTGAACCTGATCGAGGAGACGGGCCACTTCAACGTGACCAACACCACCTTTGACTTTGACCTCTTTTCACTGGACGAGACCACCGTCCGCAAACTACAGAGCTACCTGGAGGCGACGGCCACGTGACAGGAAGTGGGAACTGGTGTGGATGGAGGCGGCGGAGGTAGACGTGCCACCATCTCCTCTTTTTAAGGAGAGGAGGAGCAACCACATCACGTCGCAGCTGTTTCACAGGCCTGACTGAACCACCGAACAACTACCACACAAACAGAAACACGCGAACAAACACAAGCACACATGAAGACACACCGCCTTCACGTGACGCTGGGGGGGGGGGGAACTGAAGGAGGAGGAGGAGGAGCGGAGCGGCTGAACTCCGTCTACAGTCAGGATATCAACTACTCTATATTACTGAGCCTGTGCAAAGCTGTGGTATGCACCCCACACCCCCTCCTGCACCCTCCTGCACTCCCGCCTCTGCAAACCCAATACTTCCCCTACTCCTCCTCCTCTTCCTCCCCCTTCACACGCACACTCCTTACTCGGCAGAACACTTCAGTCCCCTTCCCCCTGCCGTCAGCTGGAGCTCATTTCTCTCTCCACATACTCTTTAAGTCGTGTGTGTTGACTGTGCAGTGTGTGTGTGTGTGCGTGCGTGTGTGTGCGTGCATTCGATCGCTGCTGAGGGTTAGGAGGAGATATTGTCTTTGTGGTACCGACTTCTCTCTTTTTGGGAAGCTTGAGCACAAACAACAGTCAGTTTGCCGCTTTCACACCAGGCCAAACAAACACACATTCAGGTCATCTTTTACTTTAACCCTCCCCACCCGATAAGTTTTTTTAAAAAGTATATAAATTATGAATAAATACTATATTGTAGTTGAAAGCAGATATAGGTAAGTAAACTATAACTTTTGTATTTTGTTTTTAACTAATAATGAATGAGCACTATAGAAAAATACAAACACTTGACAGCTACTGTTTCTTAATGAACACTTTAAATGCTGCTTATAACCACATTGCAGGGCGTTATAAACCTTTTAATTCTTTGCAGTTATTATAAATCGTAAAGGGGGGGTTAAACTAAATTGGTACCCAGAATTTGTCTCTGTGTTCCTATCACTGTACACATAACACTGAGACGTGTGCTGTGTGTGAGTCTTTCCTGCATGAGGTTTCTGTTGTCTGAACACATGTTCTGTTGAGTTTCTCCTCTACTTCCTCACACTGAAAGCTGAGCCTTGACCTCCTACCAATGCCCCCCCCCCCCCCCCCCCCCCTCCTCCCTCTGAAGCCCCCTCACCTCATCCCTCCTCCCTGTTTCTCATATTGGCGTGCATGAAAGGGCTCGACTGCTCGCGGCCAGAGCAGTGGAGGATCACTCCTGAATTGCCTTCTAAGTGGTGGGTAGGGGAGGGTGGGAAGGGGGTTTAAAAAGCCGTGAAAAAGTAGCCATACTTGTCTCCCAGAATCCAAAAATAAGAAACAAATTAATAGGGGCCACGCCTTTTTACATTTTATTTTTCTACAAGTGCGTTTTGTGTATTTATTCCCAGACTGCGGTTAAGATAACCTGTGAGCTATGAATGTATATCGCTTTTACTTTTCTACGGCTAGCAACAGCCCCACTCTAGTGCCTTTTTCTGCGACTTGCCGTGTGAGGGGGGGTGTGCGCTCTGTTAGCCATGGTCACACAGATTGAAACCCCCCCGCCCCAAATACCCCCCTCGGGGAAACAAGTGTTAAAAGGGATGCCTGAAAATCCAGTATTGTCTTAACGGCTTCCATCCCTGCTTCTCCTTCTCCAGTGTCTTTATAGGCTGTTGTCCTTTTAGCACTGACTGCTATATCTCCCTGATGGCGGTCTTCATGTTTTCATCTTCCTGCTTTGTGAGATTAGGTTCAGTGTTTTGAAGAGGTCTGCGTGGTAGTTGATCACATTCATTAGCTCTAGTAACGGTTGCTTCAGCTTTGTCGTGTGTTTTGTGAGACGGTTGTCGTTGAATAGGGTCGGGGTTCCCTCTTCAAGCTGTTGGAAGAATTAGAACGACGGGTGAAGTGTTTGATACTAAGTTACCAGGAACTTGACGAGCATTCACAAAGGGTGTGGAGGCAGAAACATAAGCTAAAGAAAACCCTCCTTGTGTTTTCTTTCCCTAAATATCTGAAATGGATATCTCAGAGGCCTGAAACATGAAGTAAGTTCAGAGTTCTGGCTGATAACTTTAACCAAGCTGACAGTCTCACAAAGCTGGCTCACTGTAAACGATTAGTAATACAAAGCAACATGTTTACTCATCAGTAAACTCACTTAGCTTTATATGCTAACTAAAGAAGACATTTAAGGTATGACTAGCACAAACACAAATTAGTTTAAATGGACCCTGATCACTAGTCAAGAGAAAAACTCCCTAATGGTATCTTCATTTGAACAAATTGTATTCACAAATGGAAAATTATCTTCTAGAAGACTATGAACTTATGTTGAGTCTTTTATGACACATCGTTATCACACCTATGTGGCGGACGCTTTCCAAAGGAAGTAAAACTGGTGAGATCATCTTTTACATATTTAGTTTAGTTGCTGTGGATACGTAGATTTTAATATATCTCGTGCACTGATTTCAAACAATTTAAACTCAATTTGCACTGACAGGATCCAAGTTTCAGGTATCCATATGTTTAACCTCTTCAAATATACAGCTGACAGCCAACTCCTTGATTTACTGTGGCCGTAGAATCATGAGCAATCATTTGAGATAAATGTCATAGTACTCTTCAGCTTTTTGCATCAGACAGTGTTACTTATAAATTAGTTTTTCATCGACAAACACTGAAGCACAAATGACCATCATCAATTTCTTATCACTCTTGAACATGTTAATAATAGAGTTGATAAATCAAAGAGAATAAAGCCAATAAAAGAATGCCCACTTTTAGCCATGGTCTATTACTTTTAGTAGTTGATTATTGCATTATTTGAGCATTATTCTTTACTAATAATGTTATATATGTAAATATTGTTACATTTACTGTACATTTTTGTATTTTTTTTTTAACTCACTGAATATAACTTTTTGCTACTGCACTGACAACATTTCCAAAAAAGAGATCTCCACAGTTTGTGCTAAAATACTGACTTGTTGTTACACATAATGTGGGTGAACAGAGCCAGCTTTTTGAGACCGGTTTCCAGGATCCCCAGTGTTTTTGTGAAGCCAGAAAACACCCAAAGAAAGCCAATGAGGTGAACTTGCTTCTTGATTCAGGCCCCTGGTGTGTTAGTTCCTGTGGCCCCTTTAGGCTTCCTACACACACACATACACACACACTGTGGTACAAACCTTCACTGAGGGATTCCCTCCCTCCCCTCCTCTGTTTTCTCCTTGCCGACAGAGTTTTTATTCTGACGCTTCGATAGCTTTAATACTTCTCTCTCTTTTTCTGTTGCCTGCCTGGCTCATCATGCACACACTCCCTTACTGTAAACGCCGTCTGAACACAGAAAATGTCTCAAAAATGGAAAAATAACCTGGATTCCTGCCGCCTTATGTGCCCTGCAGTAACCCCCCTGCCCTCACTTCTTCCCCGGCTCCACTCTCCTTTTCTCTAGGTGTGCCTCTGACAACTGAACTTCCGTGAGGCCGTAATTACTGAGAATGAACTTTGCAACTTGTGTGAGTGCGTTTGCATCTGCGAGTGTGTTTGTCAGCGACGGGAGAGATTTTAAAAAGCGACCTTCCTGTCCTCTCCTCTGTGCATCGATGTGGGAACTTTAAAGTCCTCGTTCATGAACTCTGACCTTTGACCGGGCACTCTTTCAGTCCCCTGCGGTGGTTGAGAAGGGGAGGTAACGTGGGGACTCGAGAGAAGCCCCACTGTCTGCCCACAGTCAATGTTTTATTTATGGACCTCTGCACTTTTGGCTGTGATGACTTCAGTACTTACGTAGTTACCTGAACTGTATTTTTAAGGATTTTATACAATATTTACATGCAATACGATATGAATTGATTCTTTTTTTCATTTGCCAACCTTTTTTCGTTTGTTTCTTATTTAATTGTCTTTAATTTGGCATGATTTGTCACTATTATTCACAACCAAACATGCCTGTTGGATCTATTTTAGGCGTCAAACGTTATGGGGGAAGTCTCCGGTATGTTTTTGTGTGTCACGATTCTGATGACAGCTGAACACCAAGAAACAGGTGTAGGAAAACTTTTGCTGGATGAGCTCAACTTTATCACCTCTTCTTCCAGTAGGAAAAACTGAACCAGAACATGGACAAGAGGAGTAAAAACACTTTGGTTCAGGGAACTGAAAATGTATTTTTTCTGCCTCATGTCCTGTCAACTCATTCATTGTTTTTACCAGAAACGGTCACCTAATGTAGTTATGTTATGATAACTTGAAGCCTGAAGAAACACATCATAGGAAACAATAGTGTTGTGAAGTGGGGGGAGCTCTGTTTTGCTCTGCCTTTCACTTTTACCGCACAGTGTTGCTTTGTTTTAGCATTGAACTCTTCCGATTCAGTCATTTAGTCTAAAATCATGAACACTTTGGGACATATCTGGTTGATTAACTACAACTCCCAAGGAGCATTGAGGCAAGAATCATGTAATCACCAAGTTTCAAATCTGTCACATTCCTCGATTCTACATTCTGCTGTTTAACTCTGTTCACTATACATTGTGTGGTATCTAATACATACATTTGGCAAATATGGCGTGTGCTTCTGATTGGCTCCTTCTCCATGGCAAAGAGGCTCATGGGTGGAGTAGTTTTTAGGAACTTTCCGCCAAGCCATAGAGACTCCTTTTGTCTCAGACACTTCTAGAAATGGTAACATTTATGATCAGTACATGTTCCGGAAGAGTTCTATGTTGGGCAACACTGAGGGTATAAATAAAGAAAAAGGGGAAGCGAAACCCTTCAGGTCTCTCTCACTCAGCAACTCTGTGCAGGTCTGTGGGAGTGCGGCATCATTTCAGCTGAGACAATATTATATATAATACATGTATAATACAGCGAAGGTAGAATATCTACTGTGTGGATCTTTAAAGGTGGAGGACTTTTTTTTTTTGCAAATATGTGGAGGGGGTGTGGGAGGGGGCATGTGCAGACGGGATGTTTCCTGTGTCAGTGGTCGTCATGATGTGTCTGTGACAGGGGCACAGGGTTGCCTGTATTTATAAAGGTTTGATTTTTTTAACTGGGGGTAAAGGGGGGAGGGTGGAGTCCGAAATGTGTTCCATATATGTGGTCCAAGCAGAACAAATGAACTGGATGTGCAGAACAATTTGGTATTTTTTGAAAATAAAGACTTGGCATTACAATGCCACCATGTGGCCATATGATGCAAGTTGTTAACAAGGAAAAACATGTTATTTTAATGTTATTTTTTATTTCGAAATCATATTATTAATAAAGTCATTAAGTACTGTTGCTCCTGTGTGTGTCTGGTCCTCATTGACCGCTCAGTGACCCCGTCATGGCCGAGTGCAGGGGTCATGTAAAGGTCGTGTGGTGGTCACTGCAGTCTGCGGGGTGAAAAGGGCACGCAGTGGGCCGGGCGTAATGCCCATGATGCATTGCCCATCTATCGAGGAAGTGTCACTACAGGGAGGGAGGGTTGATCAATAAATTGTGCTCTGTGACGCAGCTCTGCACGGAGCAAAAGGAAAGTGAGTTTTTACCGCTCATACCGTGTCATCTGTCTCTTTAATGTCGTGTGATAGACCATGGGGAGCAAAGGTACAAATTCATATTTAGGATTTCTGAACAGATGTTTTGATGATATTTTGTTTTATTTAAATAGTGAATATCGAATCAAATCAAATGTATCAATACAAACATTAACTATATTCCAAAACATTAATGAAACAGCTTTTGAGTTATTTGATTAGTCCATTAGTAAATCAGCAACTCTTGTTTTAGTCTCTTTATTCAAAGAAAATGCCTAAAACTCACTGGAAAAACATAATGGATTTTTTACATTTGTTGACTTGTTATAATAAGATAAGATAAGATAAGATGGTACTTTATTGATCTCAATTTGGGAAATTGTTTTTGTTGCAGCAGCATAAAAGACAAGGCATTTTACAATAAAACAAAACTACAAAATAAACAATAGAAAGAAAAATAAAATAAAATAGAAAATATACATGTTGAAATAGAAAATATACATGCAGATATTATATATACAAATATATATATATTCAAAAATATGTGACATGGGGCCTAATTGATGAATAAAATCATTTGAAATTGCAATGTAA